ATATGTATGTATATATATATGTATATATATTTATATATATATATATACTTGTATTTACGTGTATATATTAAAGGTATTTAAACGCGATAATCGTTGGACCGCGGGTACACGCGAGCAAAACGGGCGCTGTACCGATCACCGTTCAACACCGGAGAGTAACTTCGGCTCTATCTGTACGCGTGTCCGCTTTTCTTAACCTACTCGGCTGTACCACCGACGACGACGGCGACGACGACAACGGCGATGAGAACGACCGAGTGTCCGGACGACCATACCACTGCTCCGCAGCAATCAATACGCAACAATGGACCGGGACCAATAAGCTCGGAGCTTTCCCTGACGTAGACGCACGCTCTTTTGCCACCGTCTATCTCCCACCACTTCCGTTCCCCCGATAGTAAGTGAGCTTGCCGCCAGGTAACGCCACCGCGAGCGTGCTTGCGCCCGAATACCCGATTTTAACCCCTGTTGCTGCTACCCGACGACCGACCGACCGACCGACCGACCGACCGGAGCCACTACAAATGGCCGTTCATAAATCTCCTCGTTCCACTGGCAAGGACGTACCGTCCGGCCGCTGGTCCCGTTCAATCCCATGACTCTCGTGGGCTCGAACGCCCGAACGACGGGATTGATTTTCGGTGTATTAATTCATGATTTTCTCCTTCTTTCTCTTTTTGGATGCTGGTCGGAAGAAAATTCGTTGCGATTGGATGACGTTTAATAATGAACCCACCTGCGCTCTAGCCGCCTGCACTAAGAGCAAACGCGGACCCTGAAACGGTCTGTGTTTGTATATAATTTATGAATGAATCGGGTGGCTTTGGTAGGGGTATAATGTTTAATAAGGGAATCTACACTTCTGCTGTGTTCCGTTTGGTAACTTCGTTTTGAATTCATTTATGTTGTTCTTTGTTTTTCGGATGAAAGTATTTAGAGTTGGCTTTATATGGGTTTATAAATCTTTCAAAAATATATTTGTTTACAGAATTTTTACTAGTATTTATTTCTATTTTATATTGAACGTTCTGTGAAACGGTATTATTCATTAGTGGAATTGTTTTTCTATGTAAAACTGATCTCTCGCTTCTTCTGATATTATTGTTTAAATGTTTTTGTTATAAAAGTTTTTAACGAATTTACTTTTTATTGTTTGGCGAAAATAATTGATTTTATTGTTACTATTTTCAAACTGTAATTTTTAATGAATACCCGCAATTTATTAATAAAAGAATCGTAAAAACATAAAGTAATAAATGCAAATTACATAGTGTTAAATATGTTTTACATGTGTGAATACAATATACATTTGCATAGAAAATTGTAATATTTGTTTTCTGTATATAAGGCAATTGCTTAAGTAACGCGTTTCAGAATATGTATAATTAAAACATTTTATTATTATATTAACTAATGTTTTATGTTAAATTATTGCGATTCGTATAATTTATTTAAACGTACGCATAAAAATCATCTTGCCAGATATATTGAAAATTTTCATTTATAGTTATATTTTTTATTTATTCAAAACTACTTTAATTTTTATTTCTAAATTTTATAGTGTAATTATTAGATAGTAAATCTCCTACTCGTGTAACAATGTATGGATTACCTAATCTTTGGCTGTAGCAATCAATGGTCGCGTACGATTAATAGCGTGATGAACTGAGGTTAAACATTGTATCATGAATTAAACAAAACATACTTGATTGTTAGTCTTAATATAAAGAATATCTGTAAGACAACGAAACGTAAAATCTGAAATAAGTCGAATAAAAACCGAAAAGCTACAAATTATTTCAATCTATTAAAACAATAGCAGACCAAACATGTCAGAAGAGAAGTTTGAAAGGTATTTATACGAATTATATATGTGATTGTAACATATATGTAAGAAATATACCACTATAATGCGATTGTTAATATTTTTAAGACTTAAATACTTTCTCTTTAAGTAAAATGAATTAATAATATTGTTTTTGAGGTTATGTGCAATTGTTATTCTCCAAACTTACAATTATATGTAAATACATCTTTTATAGTTCAATCGATAAAACAGATGAGGCACAAACTGAATCTATTGAAGATAAGATAAAAATAAAAACAGATGATAAAGGTAAACAAAAACATAAAACAGATGATATTTCTGAGAAATCTAACGGTCGAACAAATAACAATGAAAGTGGAAATTGTTACTGGTAATGCATTCATAACTTGAGAATAATATACAATAATGTATACATTGGGCTATTATAAATTTTATATTATATTTTCAGTGGGAAGGAAAGAAACCTCAACATTGTAGAATTACTATGCGCTAGCTGTTCCAGATGGTTTCATGAATCTTGTATTGGATATCAGCTGGGCAAATTAGTACCCTTTATGATGAATTATATTTTCATGTGTAAAAATTGTTCTCCAACGGGTTTAGAAAGTTTTAAAAAGAATCAAGCACGTAAGAAACAATCCCTGATTTGTTTAATTTATTACCATATTTCTTGTTTTCTTCTTGCATGTATATTTTAGGAATTTTATATTTTAGCATTTCCACAAATGTGTGTAACGGCAATAGCAAACTTGCTACAAATGTCACAAAAGGAAAGTGACACGAGAACTATTTTTCATAAGGATAAAGATATTATTCCCTTCATCGAATGTCATTGGGATAGTATGACTACCATGCCACGCAGAGTCACTCAATCTTGGCATGCTACTGTAAGTAACGCTTTCACTGTTGGTTTAATGAAATAGATGGTTATTTATAGATAGTAACCTATCCTTCATACTTTATGCTATTTCTTCATTTCACTTTTCGTTTCTTATCTGAATTGTTGTTTGTAATAATTAACATTTTACGACACATTTGAATAAAATATTTTAATACAGATACACAGAGCTCTATTGAAAGATGTTGGAGCACTATTCACTATTGATGAAAGTACTACAGATGGTCAATTATTTGGACTTGTATGTTCTGATTTATTAATGATCAAACCAAATTATGAAGCTATGATTAAAGGTGGTCATCTAAAAGTAACTGAGATGGGTGTGCAACATGTTGGTAAGTGTTATTTTCAGCATTGATTTTACAATAATTAAAAAGTCAGTGCTAAAATTTTCCATAATTATATTTTTAGCAATACTAACTTAAGAGATTGTTCTAATTAACCTATACAATTTTCTTTTTTACTATTTCATTTCTTTATAAAATGTCATTCCTACTTTTTATTAGAAATATTAGTAAATATACATAAATACTATCTACTTCCATTTTTATTTTTAATTGTGTTAAATTATTTTAATGTTATAATCATATTTAAGTTAGGATTAATGGTAAAAAAGTGAAATGATACTAACAGTGAAACAAACATTATTCATTAAAGAAAAGTCTATATCTTTTTTATCATATTTTTTTTAATTGCATTATCATTATGTTCATAAACACAAAAATGTGTTATAAACAGATACACTTATTAAAAATTCTCAATGCATGTATTTACCACATGCTTTTTTAATGTTCAGTGCTGTTAAAAGTTTACAGCGTCAGAATATGTACTTCTACATTTTTATTATATTCTTTTATAACCATTTTTTCTTAATTATACTATACACTGCTCCATTTTCTATACCTCTGTCTTTCAGTAAGTTTTCAGTTTCATTGCGTTTATTTTGATAAACTCTTATCTTATCTAGAATATAATCAGTACTCTGATATCATATATCAAGCTGTTTAATCGTAATGCTTATACCGTAAATATAAGTTACATTTTTAATGAGCTATGTGCCATGACTAATCATTAACATTGTAACAGAGAACAGCAACTGTTATGAGTAGCTATGAACAGACTGCATTGCAAACTTCACAAGTGAAATTCCATAGAGTCTAAATCATTATAACCTCGTGTGACTGTATACATTTTTCAAAAATAGTACTTTGAAGTAATCCAGTGTATGACTAGCATAATAAGTATACTATTATGGAACATTTAGTGCCACTTAGCGGAGGACTTCGGGGTCGCAATGCGAAGCGTAAATTTCCCGGAGAAGGAGCAGGCAGCGGACCAGGCAAAAAAGGAAGAGGTTCAGATATGACTGCTCCTAAATTACCTGCTCATGGATATCCTCTTGAACATCCGTTTAACAAAGATGGATATAGATATATTCTTGCAGAACCTGATCCTCATGCACCATTTAGACAGGTATTTTATTATACCGCCTTCCTTGTTTAATAATATACAGTATACAATTCTACATATATAAAGTTGTCATTAAAAATAATATCATTTCATAGGAATTCGACGAAAGTAGCGACTGGGCAGGAAAACCTATTCCTGGATGGCTATATAGAGGTTTAAGTCCAAGTACAGTCTTACTTGCATTACATGACAGAGCTCCACAGCTTAGAGTTTCAGAAGATAGATTGGCAGTCACAGGCGAAAAGGGCTATTGCATGGTCAGGGCTACTCATAGTATGTCAGAATTATGATCCGATTTTAAGACTTTGTTTTGTTATTTCAATAAACGTGAACCAAATTGTAAGAAATTTTTAAGCTTTCTATACTTTGTACACGACTAATGAAAGTATTTTTTAGATGTAAGTAGGGGAGCATGGTATTGGGAAGCCACTATTGAAGAAATGCCAGAAGGATCAGCTACCAGATTGGGATGGGGTCAAGAATATGCTAATTTGCAGGCTCCACTTGGTTATGATAAATTTGGATATTCTTGGAGATCTAGGTATAAATATATCGTTATAACCTTCAATACATGTAAATATTCGTACTACGTCAAAGAAATGATTACTTAATACATTTGTTAACAGAAAAGGTACACGATTTCATGAAAGTAGAGGAAAACATTACAGTAGTGCTTATGGAGAAGGTGACACTTTAGGGTTCCTAATAATTTTACCTGATACACATGATGCATCACACTTACCTAATACATATAAAGATCGAGTAAGTAGAAGTTGTAAAATTGTTTAATGTATATTTATTTGTTTATTAAAATCTCACACAAATGTAATACAAATATATTTACATGTCAGCCTTTAGTAAAATTTAAAAGTCATCTTTACTATGAAGAAAAGGATCAAGTACCTGAAGCACTTAAGGCTCTAAAACCTCTAGAAGGCAGTAAAATTGTATTTTATAAAAATGGCGTCAGTCAGGGCGAAGCGTTTCTCGACATCAATAAAGGAGCCTATTATCCTACAGTTTCTATTCATAAAAGTGCTACAGTTTCTGTAAACTTTGGGCCAAATTTTAAATGTTCACCTGCTGATATTACTTTTAGAGGGGTATGTATCATAAGGATTAAAAAGGTAAAAAATGTAATAAAACGTATAAAATAGACATACCTTTATAAATAATGTATGCTTTACAGATGTTCGATAGAGCAGAAGAAGCCATAGCTGAACAATCTCTTGCTGATGTACTTTATTTCACAGAAAATGAGGGGAAGCTAAGACTGGATAATTTTGCTTTATGACATTAATGTAACTTTTTATTTCGTTTTTTACTCTTAATTTACGATTTTCATTAAATATTTTTCACGAAACGTACTAATTTGAATTTAAAAATTTGTAGCTTGGTTTTTTTAACTTTGGCTACTACCTAAAACAGAATATATAACTAAAATACCTATTTTATATAGAGTGACATACAAATCGAAAGTGAAGTATAATCATACTTTTATTACATGATTTTAAAGAATCATCTTCCAAAACCTCCCCTACAAGCTGGACTTGGAGTAATTTTACTGTTGTCTTCCCACTGATCTGGCGTTTTCGCCTTTAAAACGAAGTAGTAAATTTTTCGAGTTATATTTGACTATATTCATCAAATTACATTAACCTACATATTTTTTAAAAATAGTTCAAGTACTTACTACTATTGATAATGCATGCACTCCGCTTTTCAATTCAGCTTGCAGTATGTTATTTATCATTTGATGGCGCTAATTAAATAAAATTATATTTTTTGTTTATTTTTCAATTAATACTTAGAGCAAAATATGTTCAAAGATTCAGTTACATTATCTCTAATGTGTATTTTTTTTAATTTCTTTCCTCTATTTACAACAATTTTTGTATATACAAGGCAATTGCTTGTATTACTAAATGAGCTCAAGTATATCTAGTGAAAAACTGAAGTATTGCTAACAAATGCCTAAAAGTTGACTTTACATATAATTGAACAAAGGGTTACCTTTAAAATCCTTACCTTGAGAAGTGGTTTATCTATAAATAAGGTGGATACAACAACTACTTTGAAATGTGTCTCAGATCCTTTGGGTACATTATGCATATAAGACTCATTTATTACTTCAATATGATATGGATTTAAAGAATGCATTAGTTTCTTCCTTATTGATAGTTCTATTGGATTATCTTGTGTAACAGAACTCATATTTTGCAAAGAAACAAATATATTTTTACACCTGGCATAGGAAAATTGTCTAAAACTATCTGTAAAATTAAACACATTATAAGATTTATAAATAACATAAAGGTGCATTTAGATTAAAATAACTAAATATTTTAGCTGAATTTTATAAAAAAATTCCTTAATAAATATGTAGAATGAATGCAACATTACTAATTAGATTATAAATGTTTATGCAATTTCACACTTTTATGGACTACAAAAAATAGAAATTGAACTAAAATTTATGTTCAATTTAATTCTTATCAGATTAAAAATTGAATCCTATTATGATGTAACAAGAATTATGCCAAAAATATGTATAAGTCTGTTTTATATAAAAAATAAGTGCATATACTATTTAAATATATACTTAACTAGGATATTTTCCTTTACATGTTAAGGTAATGTAGTAAATAATTGATACGCAAATAAGGAAGTGTAAAAAATGACTTAACCTATATTTCTTAATTGATACATAATACTATAACTCATACAAGTCAACCAAAATTCGTGAGATAACAATTGAAATTACATAGTGAATCACTTACTTTTGGCTATTGAAATTGTTTTATACATTTATTAATAAGATACTTTGCACGAAGGTATTGTTTGACAGAATACGTTTCATGCACTGTAAACGTTTTACTCAATCACGTGATACGAAATAACATATGATGTATTGACATTTAATAATTTCGAAACAATCTAATAGACTTTTACGCAGATGATTAACACCTTCCACAATTTTTTATATAAACGCACTTATTATTATATTCTGCTAAAATTGATAAAACAAAAATGCTCGTAAACTTTTATTTCAGATATTTTTTTGTGAAAGGGGTATCGCAGTAAGGTATTAATTTATTTAAATTTGTACTTATCTTGCTCAAACTAAACTAACGCAATAGATCTACGTATGTATGTAAGTAGTACGTCGTAACCAAGAACAAGTTTTGTTTTAAAAATATTTAAGCGTGAAGTGTATCATTTCATACGTACTTACATATTTGTATACACTGATATTATAATAATTAAAAAATTTACAGTAAAGCTAAAGTGTGTAAAAAATTATGAAATTCGGAAGAATGCTAAGAATAAATCTAATTAAAAATCTAGAAAATTATGTTCATTTTATTAAATTTGTTAACTTGTATTGAACGGTACCTTTCTATTTACATTTTACATACAATAACTGAGAAGTTCCTTGAGAAGAATTATTAATGTATAACTTTGAATAATGTGATTGAATAGCAGGATTAAATACTTTATTTATTTAAAATCATATAATTGGTATTCTACACAGTCGTCCTGCATAATAGATTAAACGATATGAATTTTTTAAATACTTTTTCCTATTATTATCATTAGAGTCAATCAAATTTATGTTTTACTGTTCGTGTATTACGTCAATTTTCCTAATTTTAAAGGTATGACACATAACACAATAAACGACGTAGACTAAACGTAAGACCATGATGAATCGACGTTTTGAAATAATAAATTCATATTACATACATACGTTACCTTCAACCGTTATGAAGTACTGTTAGCTGAATTTCCAAACGTTTCCACGAATGTTTCTGTTATGAATTCTTCGATTTTAGTTTTTCAAAATATTTTTGCACATAAAATAGACGGGTGCATATCATAAAATGCTATGCTACAAAAAGTATCCGATGTTATGTCTACAGTTAGCAGATGAAACAACATACGTTACATATTGTCGCTTCTAAGATACCGCGCTTGAAAATAAAAAAGATAAACTAAATTTTTTGAAAACAATTTTTCTTTTAATTACAGACAAATATCCAACCTCGAAATTACGATTGAAATCTCATGTTCACATTTGAATTCAAATTCTGATACAACACTTATGTTGGTTTGTTTTGAAGCCCCAGACAACGATCGTTACGTTATACTGATTGTGTACGTATCTGCCTTAAAAAAAATTCCACGACGATTCTATGATGTTTGATCTTCTAAATTTCGGTTCAAAATTATTTGTAATTCGACAAAGGTGTATTTCGTGTTTCCAAATTAGTTACTTCATTGTAAATAAAAAACGTAAGTTTAAGATTACAAAATACATTGAATTTACTTTAAATATTATATACATAGCGTGGATAAAAATTAATCGAGCGTAGTCAATGTTAAAAAATATATATACATGTATACACGTTTTTATTTTTAAAACTCAAATGCTAACGCTGTAAAACAGAGAAGTCAATAAAGTCGTGAAATCGCCGCAAAATTGTGTAGTCATTCCGGCATGTCCATATACACGCGATGGAAACTCTCACTAAAGTCCTTCAGGAAAAGTGGAACATTCGCAAAATTTACGGTCAATTAGAGTCTACCGTACAAGGAACGATATTTTTGAAAAAAATATGCGATTTTATTACGAGAAACGCCAAGTTGATCGACAGAAGTATGAAGTGGTTGTATTAAATACACTGACTCATTTTTTGAAGGGGAAATCCACCGGTGTACGTCACGTGTAATAATTCTGACAATTTTATGATTACGATTCGCTTAAGATATCAGGAGGAATCAAGAACCGTATTAATGACGATTTACAAGTGACTAACGATTTGAACGACATTTTTCGTAGAAAGAGTTTACTGTTCGTTAAACGTATGAATTTATTCTATGAAAAATAAAATTTAGATAATAGCAGTGAATGTCGCAATGTTCAGAACGTTTATCTCGTTCCACTTATTTTCATATTGATAGTAACTACTTTTACTTTCGAGTATTAATATCTACTTTTGTAGCGATGACCCCTTGAGCAAAAAACTGGCTAGATTAATGATGATTAATACGTCGTAAAAAAAGAATAAAAGTTGAAAATTTATTACGCTAGTTAAGAGTTAATTATCTGAACTTATCAGAAAGATCTCAACATAGACGACTGTGATATTGTTATATCATACGTCAGAATCCAGTGTTAATTGAAAAGTAGTTAATTGTCTCCTCATATGAATCATCTGTAATCTACAGTTATGAAATAACATTAGAAAATGTAATTATTAAAAATAAAAAAATACTTTAATACGGTTTAAGTGGTAATCTTCATGACTCGTGGAAAGATAAAAGATTACATGAAGGCACCGAGTATGCGCATATATGTGTCATAAAGGTAAAAATTACTGTTTTTGATAGGAAGCAGAAAAACTGAATTGAACCAGTTGTGTAATACTTACTTATTTTCAAATAAAATTTTCGCTACACTTATGGTAATAAAAATGATTGCTATTGTAAGTTGCAATTTTTTATCTTCAAGGTCTAAGTTTGAAAATTGCGTCTTCGATAAACTTTCTAGGACCATTTGTGCCGTATAATAATTTAAAAAGCTATTAATACTATATACATAGGAATTTCATTAAAATGATGCGTAATGTACAGTACAATGGAGTAAAATAAAAGCTCATACATCCTTTTGAATACTTTATTTGATATTGTTGTATTCAGACAGGTATTCGCGAGGAAAAATTCAAGCTGCTCCGAAAAGTATACAAATACACGTTTTTTGAACAATTATTATCATGTGACTAGCTGATGGATACACGGAATTCCACCTGGGTTTCATTTTTGTAAAACATTTTATCATACACAGATGTAGGCACGTCATTGATCCTTAAGATATTCGTATCGCATTAAAACATACTGTCATCACATTGACGATAAAATGAGTGACACTATAACATTATTTACATCCTACAACGTTACAATAAAAAAAAAAGAGTTAAAAGGTTGGGCCGTGAGAGGAACGTTGATACAATTTCTTTTTGTCTTCACACTTTGCTTTCAACAAACAGACAGACGAAAAAAATACAGAATAAAAATCATTGCAATCTCGTCGAGCAACGCATACCATTTTTTGTTTCCTTTTATCTTTTTTTTCGATATTTCCCGTTTGATTCATTCTGCATAAATTATTAACGTTATATCACGGTTGCGTAAAAGCCACGCGTGCGAAAGGTATGCTTAACATAGAAACGAATAGCTTGACTACTATCGAAACGTGGCTCGACATCGAACAACTTCTTTCGTCCCCAGGGGGGCTGAAATCGATCAATATTCAGCCATGTTTTCAGTGTACACGGTATTGCTTAATACAACAATACAAGTAAAATACCATATTAGCGTTGTAGTACGGGCTCAATATGAGCTGTTGAATATTATTAACAATCTTAAATTGGCCTATGTTACAAGTATCTACAAAATGCTGCGTCGTTCTCATCGCGAAAGAAACAAAAAAACAAAAAGGACGAAAAATGAATTCTGATTTGGGCGCAGCTTCGAATCAGCATTCATTCGAGCCCTTCATTTCCCTATTCAACTGTGTGTGTTTGTTATGTGTGTGTCTGCGCGCGCGTGTATGTGTGTGTGCACTAAGCTTACTGGATC